TTGCAAAGATGCTTGTACATGTTCTTTTCACAATAGCTAAGAGATAGAAGCAACCTAAGTGCCCCTCAACTGACAAGTAGTTAATGAAAATGTGGTACATTACACAACAAAGTTCTACTCAGCACTAAAGAAAGATGAAATAATGAAATTTGCATGTAACTGGATGGATCAAGAAACTGTCATACTAAATGAAATAACACAGACTCAGAAAAACAAAAGATGTTATGTTCTCCCTCATTTGTGGATCCTAGCACCAAATCCTTATAAAAAGTTTTAAATCAAAAAATAAATAAATAAAGACCATTCAATGAGTCTTGATTCCTATTTTTTAATTAATTTAAAAATAAATAAATTTGAGGATGAATGATTGATGTTCAGAAAACTTTCTAAAAATTATAAACATATATCTCTTTTAGACTCAAATAAATAAAATGTTCACAATGTGCACAGAGTGTCTCTTCATACAGATCACTCTGTTATGACACTTTTTTCTCTAGAGACTCAAGCTAACTGACAAGAAAGTGAACATCCACAGACCATGTAAGAGATTGCAATACATCAGGTAAGGTGATTAGAGGCAGAAGCTCATATAGTGATAGTGACTACAAAGCTAGTCGGGAAGACGATTAATTCAGATCTGTCAAGAGAACAGTGATTGTATGAAAGGAATATTAACTAATATCTGAGTGTTTAATGATCCACAAAATAAAACATACTGTTTTATACCCCAATGTCATCTTGAATTTCACTTGACCCAGAAGTTATTCCTACTTGGGGGAAAAAAAGAGTTTTAGAAGATTTCATTTGTAATATTCCAAAGGCCAGAGTTTTACTGAACATTGCCCCTTCCCTGTCTCTCTGGACTCTGGAGATTTTCCTTGCATCTTTTCTGTACGCATCCTTTCTGTGGCTTGACAACTCAGCCTTTGCCTCCTAGATTGAATTTCTGCTTCTACACATGTCTTTCTCGTCTCACTCACATTCTCTTATCCTTTGCTTCTTCCTCTCTTTTCTTTCTATCCCTCCTTCTTTCATATCTGATGCCTCTAGTCAATCATGAGATAGAAATGCTACATAGTATTTGCAGTGCATTGTGTTTTCAGGTTTATGAGAAGCTTGATGGACAATTTGTTTTTCTAGCTCACATATATTAAGCTGCTGTTTCTTATATATTGTTCTCTATACTTTCAAAATAGTACTTCCATTACTAAGAAAATTCCACATTTCAAAATAAAAGGAAAGAATTCACATAAAATCTGGAGTGAAACAATGATAAGGAATCATACATTACATATTTGGTTGTGCCTGAATTATTTCATTAAATGAGGAACAAAATGGTAAAGATGGAGGTGGGCAATGCTTTGGCAATGGTGTTATAGTAGCATTAAAGGCCCGTCAAGGGAAAGCTGCTGCCTCCTAGCCAAAAAAATGAATCTACCTCTGGGTGGAGACATGCCGTTACCTCCTCCCTTAAGAGTTAATCAAGTCAGACTGGGTTGGCCAATCATCTAGCCAAGGGATCATCCTTCAGGAAGGCAAGTTCACTTTAAGTCCTGATAAAGATATACAAGGAATATTCTTTTCCTTCCCAGAATCCTTGCCCTGTAGCACAGCCCCCTACAAGCCTCCATGAGGCTCTGTTGGTCTGCCCACCTATCTGAGTGACTGAGAGCTATAACTTTTCTCTTCTTTCTATGCCTTTCTTTCAGATGCTGGCCAGAGCCCAAGTATGTTTTTCTGATACTTTGGGCTTCCTTGCTTTTTCTGTAAAGCTCCCCTCCCAGCTATGCGGCTGACCTTCATTCCAACATAACTCAAACCGAATGGCTCTTTCTCTATCTCCCTCCACCAGATAGCAGCAGAGATTTACAGCTTGCCTCTCTGCCTTGAGTTTTCCATTTAAACTCTTAACAAAGTTGTCCTCATGCTTCCATTTGGACTGGTACCTAAACTTTTTTTTTTTCTGAATGAGATTAAGAACTCCAGAAGGAGAGTCTGATTTCCCTGGTAACATGGGGATTCTGGTAGAACTCCCCAAAATTTCTGTTAACAGTACCTTTCAATAAAGTTTTCTGTCAAAAGAAAATAATGGGAGGAAGGTTTCTAATGGACTTTCAGCTGCATAAGGAAAATTATACAAAGGCAAGGCTGGCACTTAGACAACTAGGCCAAGCTTCTTTCCACTAGCTGTCTGTATTGGCTCCAACAGCAGAATGAGCTTTGAAACGTGCAAATCTGGGAACTAGGTTAGATGTGTAGCATCTTAATTGAGAGTCTGTTCGACTTTGGGTCCATAGTCCTGTTTTTTAAAGCCTTTTCTTGTTGAGATGTTAGATAAGTTACTTAAGCTCTCCTTGCCACAATTCCCTCACCTGTTTTCAAAACGAAGGACACCAACAGCCCATATCTCTTAGTGCTTTAAGAAATAAGTCAATATGTCTAATATATTTAAGGCACTTATCATTCTGCAAAGTTGCGTAGTTACATACTGTTCATTCATAGCTGCTACAAAAACTGTGCAAATTGCCTAACCTGGAGCTGAGAAGCTGTCAGAATGTTTTATAAAGTAGATGGCACAGTACATATAACATAGAAGACACATATCCAGGGAAAGAAAATATATTTCATAATGACTTTTCCCTCTAGCAGAAATCAAAGTCAAGAAAGGAAAAGGTCATAAGGACCAGGGGTCAGAGGACAGGAGGAAGGACACAGACTTGCTCTGTTTTACATTCTCCTTCTTTTTCCATTTCATTCTTTCTCCATTGGAAACGTGCATATGTGCATGTTTTATATGTTTCATATCTGTGTCTATGTCTTGACTTTGATATATTTATTTGTTTTCTGTTGTAAATATAAATATGGATCTACAGTGAGTGGTTTGGGAAATACCAAAAGAAGTAATTTTAAAAATAATCACAGTTTCACCATCCCAAGACAACCATTAACGCATTAACTCTTTCCTTCCCATCCTTCTATACAGAACCTCAGCTCTATACATAGTCCATTTCTTTTTGGTGTTCTCTAAATGTTCTGCCTGCCTTTTATTCCCAAAACATTCAGAAACCATCTAGGCTAGGTTCACTAGGGATGAAAATGATTATTTTTCCAAAATCTCCTGCTGATGGACAGATTCATGAATATTCTCTCATAATCAAAGCTGTAAAATGTGTATTTTGCATAGCCAATTTCACTTATTTAGTATATATGCTGCATACATTATTATCTTCAGGAAATTTTTAAAAATATTTCTTTATTTATTCGAGACCAACTGGTCATTACCCAAGACTTATCTGCATGACACACAGTAATTAAAAATGCCAGAATGGCAGAACTAACCTTCTTGGATGTTTAACAGACGTATCTTGAGATCTATACTAATTGGGTCAGAGGGACACAAAGGACACTTTTTGCTCCTTGCCCTCCTAGGTCGATTAGTTCCCAGGGACTATGAGCATCTCGCAAAACATCCTGTAATGGTGGTGGGTCATCTGACGTCTTGATCAAGGAGGCCAAGGAGACCCAAACAGATGCACTTGAACCAGTGTCTAGTCTACAAAGAGGAGGGTCAACAAAGAGAAATCATTTCCTCCATGCTTCCAAGCAAAGCCAACTATGGTCGAGCAGGACCTTTGACTTACCTTCACATAGGCGGAACTGGTAAAAGAAAGGAGCCAGGGGCTCCTCCCAAGC